GTAGGGGTGGGTGTGTTAGAAACTTGACTGAAGCTGGTTCGGCAGGGAGCTTCTTCACTGGTTCCGAGAGCCAGTCCAATGCCTATAACTCCATGGCAAGAAACTAGGAGAAGAAACGGATATATATAAAAGAAAATGACGCAAGCAGGACTTACCTGGGCAGATTTTGGCCTGACTGAGGACGATGTACACGGGAGATATCAATTAGCTCAGCTCCGAACTGTTTTCTCAATCAACGGTGGCCAAACGGTTTGCGATCGAAAGTTTGATGGGAAAGGACGATCCCCTTAACTCCTTAACTGTAAATCTCCTTCGAAATGGAAAGGAAGGATGGAAAGGTCAGATTTCCGTCGTTGCTAATGTTTCTGATTAACCGGTGATGAGGACTGAGAACAGAGCTTTTGGGTTAACCAGTGATGAGGACCGGGAACAAAGCTTTCGTAGATTGTTTACAAAAAGCCTTGAACAGTGGGGTGGAGAGGAGAAATGATACGGGAAGAAAATGAAACCGAGCGATGGTTGAGATATCAGATATACGCCGGAGTTGTGTGAGAATGCTGGGATAGTACTGCCTTTGAAATTTCGGTGTTCTAGAAGAAGGTGGTGAACAGGGCTGGTCGAAGGTAGTGAGGAAGGAGGAGAAAAAATGGGTAGAGAGAGAGGTGGCTTTCTCGACTGTTGGAGACGACAGTCGGAGGCAGCTGTCGGAGACACTGCCGGAGGCGTGCCGAAAGCGTATTGAAGGCTGCGGTGGGCGGCTCTGAATACAAAGTTAACTTATTTTTGTAATTTTATTAAATATATTATTTTTATTAATATTAAAATCCTAAAATTGCCCTTAGCTGATATAACCCATGGGGACCGTCAGGGGTAAATTATGATTATGCAAGAGACATGTCATAGAAATTAGCGCAGGGAGACTTGAAAGTACTACAGAGTCTGAATCTGCTGCTAAAACACTTTTGACAAAGCAATCCATCCGCACATCGGGAACATCTTCCCATATGTTCCCGATGTGCGGCTGTATTTTTGGGTTAACAGTTATCACTTTCGCTAGAAGAGAACCTAACTTATTATAATTTACCTACTCTCTAATATTACCCTCGGCCTCACTCCTCTCAAATCAGTAATGTTATCTGTTTTAACTTTTAATTTTGGGCAAATTTCTTAAATTAATCAGTTTTAGTATTGTTAAAGTATTCCTCTTTTATTAAATCGTAATAGAAAAAAATAAAATATGGAATTTGTTCTTCATTATTTTTTAAATTTCCAAAATAAAATTTAATGGGTAAAAAAATTTCATCACCACTGCCATTGCTACATCCATCTTCCTTATATATCTTTGTTTTTACATGGCATTTCTAGCGAAAGACAGGATTAATGAAGGTATGAGGCTACTTGGTTTTACAGTTTTGAGAAGGTTGAATTTAAGAGAAAATAAAAGTTGCAGCCTTATAGGATTGCAGATGGAAGCAGTTTTGAGAAGATTGAATTTAAAAGAAAAATAGAAGTTGCAGCCTTGTAGGAGTGCAGATGGAATTCACAATTGGAGCTATTCTTTGTGTTGTGATAAAACAGAAAAAATACAAAGGTGATGCACTTTATCAGTTTTGTCATTTAGGCTCAGTTTGTAAAGAGTAAAAATACAAATATGTATTGTGCAAATACATATAAAATACAAGGCTTTGCATTCTACAAATTTATATTTATACTTCTTTCAAAGTATAAATATAAAAAATGTATAATATAAATATATTTAAAATAATACAAAATATAAGATACATATTTGTATTTGTACTTTTTCCAAATAATAGAAGGCTTTGATTGCTGCCGTTGGTTTCTAATTTCTACGCCATACCATGTCGTATGATGGTGGCCTTGTGGGGTTGTATCCTTTGAGGCCACCCAAGTTCAGGAGCAAGCTGCCTCTCCGGCACTCTACCCTTCCTCGACTCCTTTCTCGGAACCGAGAATGGTTGCTTTTGACTTTGTGATTTAAATTCTTATTGCAGTATCCGGTATTTTTCAGATGGAATAAAAAGTTGCTTGCTTGTTTACATGTGCTTAAAAAGATCGATACATTCTTTTCACTTTCTCTCCCACTCACTCCATCTTTTAATCTCCCTCCCATTCTCTCACTTTCACAATTGTCTCTCTCTCTGTTCAACGACCATCTAATTTGAGAAAAAAATTTTTACATTCTCTTAGTTAATCTTTTTTGTTCTCTCTCTCTCCATCAATGTACCATTCTCCCTCAATCTTCATTTAATCTCTCATTCTCCCTCATTTTCTTTCTCAGTTGATCTCTCATTCTCTCCTTCTTCATTATCTTTCTCGGTCGATCTCTCCTTCTCCCTCAATCTCTATCATTCTCTCTCATTTTTTTCTTATTCTCTTTCTTGTTCTTTTTTTTATATTTTTCTTACACACTTATATGGTATTAACCACACCGTATTAAGGAACATAAAACCAGTTTGGTATAGTTCTAACTCCTTTAGCCCAATTTGATAAAAAATTCACAAGAAACTTTTGACTATAAAATCTACACCAATTTGATCGAAATTTATAACTTGATTGTACAAATTGTTGGTCCTTTGACTAACTTTATAACTTATATGGGCTGATTAATATYGTATAAATTTCTAAGAAAAATAAAAAAGAACGACAGATGGAGCGGGAGAAAGACTGAATGAAAACGATATAGAAGAGATTGATAGAGAATGAAAGATTAACCATGAGAGAGAAAGAGTTTGATTTGGCTATAGATAAAAATTGAGAGAGTGAGAGATTGAGAGATTGAGAGATGACTTTTGAAAGTGAGAGAATGAAAAGGARATCAAGATATAGAGGGAGTGAGAGAGAAAGAAGGAGCGAGAGAAACAAAGGGAGCGTCCCAAGCAAGAGAGGAAGTGAAAACTCCTTTTTCTTTATTTTCAAATAATTCATAGTGTGTCTAACATAGATTAAGAGTGAAATACAAAAACCTTCATTCTATTTTAAAAAAATTGATAAAAACCTCCAAGACGAAAACGTTAAACCGATGATAATTTTTATCAAAATACCTATTTTACCCCTTCAGCTACGATGCATGGCACAATCACGATTGCTCTCTCTACGGCGGCGATCCCTTCGTTTCTAATTCCAGTCGGTTCAATCATTTCTCCAGCAAGATCCCGACATCATTTGGGAGATTGCCGGCGACGATCTGAGGCATAACAACCTGATCGGAGAAATCCCTTAGACTGAAACTTTTGCAAATCAAGGCCCGACCGCATTCCTTCACAATCCCTCCTTGTGTGATTTCCTCTCTGGAAACCTTGCAGCGGGAATCCCCTAAAGAACACCTCAATGAAACAGAATCAGACAACGGTATTTGATACCAATCCAAAAATAAGAAAAAAAGAGAATTGAAAGCAAGTTTAATAATCTTAATTGTGGTGTCATATGCCGCCGGAGTCGCAGTAGTCGGTTTGCTCATCGTCTATGTATATTGGAAAAGAAAAGATTCAAGATTCAAAAAGTTGCAGCTACACTAGTAAAGGAAAGTTGGGCGGTGGAGGTGAAGGCAAAAAATTGTCTACTTGCTCTTGTTCCTGAGCAACGACGATTCGGAGCTGGAGTCTGATGAGAAGGCAGGAAGTAATGAAGGAGGAGAAGGTGGTTTGGTTGCGATTGATAAAGGGTTCACGTTCGAACTGGATGAGCTTCTGAGATCGTCGGCTTATGTTTTGGGTACGAGCGGATTGGGGATCGTGTACAACAAGGTGGTGTTGGGCAATGAAGTTCCGGTGGCGGTGAGGAGATGAGGTGAAGGTGGAAGGCAGAAGTATAAAGAATTTGCAGCGCAAATACAGGCGATCGGACGGATTAAGCACCCCAATATTGTGAGATTAAGGGCTTATTACTGGGCTTCTGATGAAAAGCTTCTCATCCTTGATTCATCTCTAATGGCAACTTGGCTTCGACTCTTCGTGGTGAGTTCTTCTGCAACTTCTTTCCATTTTTAGTTTTTTGAGTTTCAGATTCTCTCGAGTCTGGATCTACTGCACTTGTTGTACAATTGCGTTTAATTTGTGACACGTGTTTCATCACACGTCTAATGAGACATGTGTCAGCGATTAAATGCAAGTGCAGCAGATAGATCCTCATATAGTAATATTACTGTTTGTGAACAAACGTTCTACCATACGACAATGAGCGAGGGCTTCATGCAAGAGAATATGGCCATTGGATATTAGATATAGAACGCGGTTAGTATTGAGACGATTGATCGATCTCCTTGATGGTGATTGATCTCTTTTGATGACAGGAAGAAATGAGGTATTTACAGATTAATTACGGTCTATACTCCTTCGCAGGAGAAGATGGGGATTGCTGTTTGTTGTGGCCCACATTTGGGATCTCCCCGGGTTGAATAGATTGAAGAGATAGACCGGATCTACTTCTCACACTTGGCGCTTCACACACATTGGAAACATCYCTCCTATTTATTAATTATTATTCACGAGAGATGTTCTTAATGCACGATGGATGTACATGTAAAGCGCCCATTTGTGAGGAGTAGATCCCATGCGGTTGTTATGCCTCAGATCGAAGCTCACCGTCACCAACAATCTCCATTGTATCATGCATCACAGCCGAAGGGGTAAAATAGGTTTTTGAAAAAAATTATCATCATTTTAACGTTTTTCGTCTTAATCATTAACGGAATGGAGATTTTTATCGATTATTTGAAAATAAAAGACAGATTTTTACTAAAGTTAAACGAAAGGTTTTTATAATTGTCAGAAATTTTAGGGGAGATTTTTCTATTTTACCCTAATTTAAAATATACTAAAGTTTATGGGTTTTTGAACAAATTGTAGGATTAATTTTCTCTTAAGACAATAGTCGTACAATAAGGTTAGCGTTATTCAATTAAACCTTAGGGTTACTTTTAAGAAATTTGCCACTTAACTTTTTTCTGCTGCAGGTCATTTGTGATCACTATATAAAGCTTGGAATCTCGGCCTTCCAGTTATATCTCCTGTATTTTTTCTCCCTGTTTAGCGGAACTTCTCTCTCCCCACCACTCTCTCTCTTTCTTTCGATTGCAATGGCGAGTATCGATCCCGAGCACAGAGAAGACGACGAGGCCGCTGCAGGAGGCGAAGATGAAGATACCGGGGCACAGGTTGCTCCAATTGTCAAGCTCGAAGAAGTCGCCGTCACCACTGGTGAAGAAGAAGAGGATGCCATTCTTGATCTGTAAGCTCTCGCTTGTTTGCTTTCTAGGGTTTGCGATTGTTTCCTTTCCAGTGCTTTATTTTTTGTTCTCATTTTTGTATGACGATTGCTTGATTCTCTTTCGATGTCTGCTTCTGTGTTGCCGGACAAACATGCAGGAAAGCGAAGCTTTACCGGTTCGACAAAGATGGAAGTCAATGGAAAGAAAGAGGCACTGGAACTGTAAAGCTTTTGAAGCACAAAGAAACGGGGAAGGTAAGGTTGGTCATGCGGCAATCGAAGACTCTCAAGATCTGCGCTAATCATCTAGGTCGTTTTCTTACTCCAATTGTCGCGATTATTTGCGTTTCTTCTTTCGGTTGCAGATCGGCGTTTTTTGGTTTATTTTGATTTATATTTGATTTTCGTTGTGGCCTTCACAGTTTCGCCCACGATGTCGGTGCAAGAGCATGCTGGGAACGAAAAGTCGTGCGTCTGGCACGCCACTGATTTTTCCGATGGTGAATTGAAGGATGAACTTTTTTGCATCCGATTTGCATCCGTTGAAAGTAAGTTTTTCTCTGATCGGGTATTTTTCTTGTATGCTATTGTTTTTATGTATTTATTTATTTTTATCTTATGCTGTTGTGGGTTTTCATTTTATATATTAATCATTAGTAAGTATTGCTTTGAGTTAATATCTAGCCTGGTGTACAGAACAACACTGTTTCAATAGAAGACCTCGATTACGGGTTTAGTATTTTGAGGGCGTGAGGAGACGTGGTCTTTAGGTGCTACCTTTCCTTGTGATTCATCCTAAATTAAATTAGAGGGATTTGGTGGTTAGCGGGCTGATTGTTTTTTAATTGTTATGATCTTTCAGCAAAGGATAACTTTATTCAGAACCTTAAGAAATGAAATTATAAGAACTCATATTTATAGACTGAACATAAAGCGCTAGAAATCTCATTATTGACTCTTAGCATGTGTTAACATTTCTGACTAGTACCTAGGTAAGGTAGGTTTACTTAGCCCCCCCCCTCTTTGTTTTGCAACGAAGACACCCCTGTACTTATAGATTCCAGCACTTTGCTTCTGATACCTTAATGGTGAAAATGAAATTACCAAATTGTCCATTTGAGATTTTATAGACTAACAGTGACAGTGGAAAAAAAAATACTAAAATACCTATTCTAAAGAATAATATCTTCTATTGACCGTTACTGTCTTTCCACATGGTTTGGATGAAACCCTTGCCAAAGAAGATGCCAAACTACCTATGGATAAATCCAAATATGAAGATGAACCACTTGTTCATAGCGTTGAAGATGGACTACCTGATCAGCAGCACTTCCACAAAGGGTGTAAGTTGCTACCAGCTTTTGTTGAGAGAAGCTTAAGGGAAACATGCAAGAGTTTGGGTTATAGAAAAACTAAATTAAAAGGGAAAAATGGTCTCACAAAATAATGAGGTTAATTTGGGGTTGTAAATTTGTATAAACTGCATATAACAATGACATGGGAATATTCCATGTTTAACTGAGGGAATGGCAACAACAAAGGTGACGTGCTAGAACTGGGGGGGTCTTTGTTGTAGAACAATGTTTGGGGTGCTAAGTATCATGACTCCCTAAGTACAGGGTGGGTGCTTGTAATTTACCTGAAATATATTTTCTTGGTTTTCATGATCTTTAGAAACACCTCTTGATACTTGCTTGCGGAATCAAAGGTCCAAGCCCTTGTTACCATAGTTTTGAAAGCACCAAGGCGAGGCTAGGAAATATTGGGGGGGGGCTTGTCACTAGACCTGTTCATGGGTCGGGCCGAGCCGGGCTTTTACTCTTCATTAACAGGATTTTTCCAGGCCTGAGCCTGACCCTCATAAAATGCCCGAAGCCCGACCTTTTTTTTTGTAAAAAGTGGGCTGGATGGATACAAATCAATCTCCAACAAATTCAATTCAGGTTGTTTGCGTTAAATAACCAGAGAGAAATGCCACCAAATTTCCACTTTGGATCTGCTATTTTAAACGAACTAAAATTCTACTCAGATAAAGAATTTAGTAGAACAGAGGATGGATTTGGATAGGGGTGGCAATGAGCCGAGCTTTTCACGAGCTGCTCAAGCTCGGCTCGTAAAAAGCTCGGTTTTAACCGAGCTTCGAGCTGAGCTCAAGCCCGATTTAGAGGCTCGATTAATAAACGAGCCGATCTCGAGCCTAATAGAGCTTGGCTCATGAGGCTCGCGAGTCGAGCTCGAATATATATATATATATAATTATAGAAAATAATATATATAATAAAAATATTATAATTCTTATTTTTTTAAATATCAAATAAAAATTATTTTTTTATATATAATTTTTTATTTTTATAAAATATTTTCCCTCAAATCGATCTCGAGCTCAATGTTCTAGCTCGAACTGATCTCGAGCTCGAGCTCGAGCCTTATACAACCTTGACGAGCCGAGCTCGATCCTCATACTATTTGGCTCGGCTCAACTCAAATCCACCACTAGATCTGGGTACCTTTTTGAGCTTGAGTAAGATGCCGGTGATAGAATTCCGGAGAGAGATGGCGTCGTCGCGGAGGCGAATGACATCACGGCTAGCACAAGGGACTCGAAGGAGAGGCACTGCTCTGCTCCTCCAGAGACGCAACAATCCCTTTGGACATCATTTGCAACTTCATTTCTAGATCCGCCAAGTGCTTCTACACTAGGTCTTGAGGGTGTCGAGATTGGCAGATTGCATTGATTCATTTCTTCGCATCGAATTTCTCGTTAGAAAACTCTCCCAAATCAAGTGAGCCTGAGTCTGAGATTCTGAGAATGAGAACAATGAAAAGAGAGAGAAGTTGCCTAGGCGCATTGATTTTTTTTTTTCTTTTTCAATGTAAAAAACATCTATCCTAGGGTAGTTCCCTAGGTTCCATAATCATATTTCCTTAATAACTATCCATAATTTTCATAAAAGTATAAACTTCATATTAAAGTATAGAAAATCAACATATTCATGAGAAAAAAAAAGAAGAAAGAAAAGAAAATTCAAAAAATACAGGGGCTGAAACCCTATTTTTTTATAGGAAATAAAGAAAAGAAAAGGGGTTGATTAGACAAAATTTTAAGTTCTTCTTTATTGGTTCAGGTTTTGAAGTCCTTGAGGGTTCAATACAGCAGTTGTTGATAAAAAAATACAGCAGTTAGCAATGTCTATGTTGATTAAACCCTAACAAATAAGAAATTAATATATAAACACACAAAATGAATGTTTTAATTTAATAGTTTCTATTTTATATTTATAATCTCAAAATATTAAGAATATAAAAGTATTTTATGACAGCATACAAAACTGCTTGATGATTAGGCAAGGCGAGCCTCTAAGGGTGCTTTGTTGCCTAGGCACCTGCCTAGGCGTTGCTTTGACAACTATGCTTGTTACTGGAATGCGGATTGCTTGCTTTATTCTGGCTTCTTCTATTGTGGTTGAGGGATACTCCAGGAATGCGTTTGCTTAGGCTAAATCTGATGAGACAGGTCCATGGAGGCTCGCCTATCTCCTACATGAAGTTCATGAGCTGATCTTTTGGCTAAATCTGGTTTGGGTAGGGATTTTTTTCCTGTTGTTTTTTTTTTTACTTAGTTTTTGCTGCTTTGCCGTATCAGATTGTAATCTCCTCGTGTAGTTCCCTTCCCTTCTTTTGTAAAAAAAAAAGAAAGAAAAAACCTCTTGATATCTTATTACTTTCTAATATCTCAAACCCAGAAGATCTGGTTCTACCCTTAGATATGCTAGGATTGAGCTGGCTCTGGGCACAGTCTGTTTCAATTGTTGGTGCAATTTTGATTGTTTCTAGTGTGAACAATTTATGTGCAGTTAGTCTTCCATGGATAGGATAGGTTTTGGGTTGTTGAAGTTTGACTCAATTTATAATGAAGTTTGGCTTTGTTTGAGTTCTTAGCAATCTGAAACATCAAGAACTTGACCATAATATTCTACAAGCCTGACCATTGTACCATTATAAATGCATGTTAGCTAGGTTGTATATTTTGTTACACCAAGACGAAATCATTGAAATATACCCTCCTATTCCTATACGTCATACTAACGGCCTATCCTCAACTTTTTGTGAATCCAACTTTTGCCTTTCCCTCCCTCCCTCCACTTCTCAGGTGAGCCAGCTTGTGCCATAAATCTGATTGGGTGGATCATGGATCCTTTCTTTCTGTTATTTGGCCTCATCCCCCTTTCCACCCACTATGGCCTAACATCTAAAGGGTCTTGGGTTAAAAAGTTCCAATAATATTTTTCTTGTTTCCTGATCCTCTTTCTCTCTATCTAAAGGTTTTATCATCATCAAAAGATTGTGTCTTTATTTTTTGTATTATTGTGGATCTTTCCAAAGAAATTTTGTTCAAGCAATATTTTTGCTCTTCCGTCTTTATTGAACTTTTTAACATTTCTTCGTTCCATTGGCATTCTTTTCTTTATTTTTTAATCTTTTAATGATTGATTGGTCATGTAGGGTTAGGAGGGCTCAACAATTGCACTCTTGTCTGAAACCTATTCCACTTATTGGGGATATAGAATCACTGGAAATCCAATTATTCAAATCCTTATGAGAATATACATACTGTCTTTGTCCAGCATGTCAAAATCAGGTTGTATTAATAAAAAAACTTTTGAAGTATTATATTAGTTCTATTTGCTTCTGTACTTTGATCGAGTTGGCTGTTCTGTTGCGTGTGGGTTTATTTATCATATAGACACGTTAAAAACAATATCCATTGAAATTGGAAACTTTCTGGTGTTAAAAAAAATGCCAGAAAGCCTTCAGGATGAGGTGTGAAAAGAGTTATGTAATTTCTTTAATTCTTTATATTTCTAGTGTATTATGGTGCCATGCTTGCTTTTATTCTGGTGAATCATATCATGGTGCCATATTTTTAATCAGCGATAGAGTTCTGTTTGTATGCACATTAGACACTTTAGTGACGCCATGTTTTTATTGCAGACTGTAAGACCTTCATGGAAATGGTTCAAGAGGTTGCTGAATCCCAAGGGAAGAAAGAGGAGAACGAAGAAGCAACTGCAACTGCTGGACTTATTGAGAAGTTAAGTGTTGCAGAGGAAAAAACTGAGGATAAAGCTGGAGAAAAAACTGGTGCATCGAAGGAGAAGGAAGATGATAGTGGGCATGCGAAACCAGACGAGAAGAAGAAAGAAGAGCCGATTTCTTCGGCTTAGATCTGCTGGAAGGGAGTTTGCATATTTTGGGTTGTCCTCTGAGGTGGTGATTTTGTCCACTTTTCCATACAAATTGTCCGATTTAAAGAAGAGCTAGCTTTGAGTGGACATGGATCTGTAGGTGGAAGTGGAACTGGTGTCAGTCGGTCAGTAAGTTTTGTCAAGTTCATCGGACTGGGGTCCAGTATGCATGTCAAGTCAAGGGATCTGGTTCTGAACTGGTGTCAGTCGGTCATAAGTTTTATCAAGGTCATTGGACTGGGGTCTAGTATGCATGTCAGGGTCGGGGGTCTGGGTTACGCTGTTCCTGTGAGAGTTTCATGAGAGATTGAGAGGTTTCGGTAATTGGGTTAGGGTTTTTGATAGTTCCCTCCCAAAGGGCTTGGCCGCGTAGGAGTTAGGTCTGCAATTTGTCTGCGCTAAAATTATATTTCTAAATGGTAAACATTACTAAGATTATTCTCTAGCTATTGCCATAGCCGATGAAAATGCTAATCTCAGCATGCCATGCCGTTTCCGATGCCTTGGACTGAAGTCATGTAAACAATAATATCTTTTTGGATGATGTCTAAGGGACTATTAGGTCCATTACCATTTACCAATTCGTGAAAACCAATCAACACACGATTTCACAAGTAATGCCGGATGTACCAATAGGCTCATCGATCCTCCTGGCCGGTTTTTGATCCTATTTTCCATTCTCGTGCCGTCATGCGGGTAGAGCATTTTTTTTCTTTCATTTTTTTAAGCTACTACTTAAGCGAGAAGTTGCAAAAAAAAAACATACATATATACAGGTGAAAAGGTCCGTTCTCCGCTGGGTAATGAGACCGTGTTGATCCTAAATTTCCCAGAAGAATGCCAATCTTGTATGCTTTTCTTCCTTCATTATTATTTAACTACTGGGATTGCAGGCTCCAGATCCCCCCCCCCCCCAAAAAAAAAAAAAAAGACTAGTCTCCCAGATGAAAAAAAAAATACGTACATTTATTTTAGAAAAACAATTGCTTCACCATGGGATTCTCAAGTCTTGTAGATGGTAAGAACCACATATCCTATAAACTAGTGAGACCGGGTCTGCTCCTCGAACTGACCTCATGCACATCCAACATACATAGGGAACATCTCCTGTATTTATGTGTTATTATTTACGGGAGATGTTCCCAATACATGGTGGGATATGCATGTGAGGACGTTGTGAGGTGCCCTGTGTGAGGAGCAGATCCCAATTCTAAGCCAGTAAGCCCCCCATTGTAAGATTCTAACTGAACTTTATCTCCACTGATTTAGAACTACTGAGAAAGCTCAGAAAGAGGGGATTCATTGATCGATTCTATTTTTGTCAAGGGTATAAGGTATCGGAAACGCAAGCTATATCGGAAAGATAATTTTAAGAGACCATCGGGATACGCTTTGGATACATATAGATACGGACGAAAAATCAAGATACGCATAACTATGCTAAAAAATTCAAATAAATCCTAAAAATATATTAATAATGATAGTTACAAGTTTTATATGATGGTAAATAAGTTATTTAAAAGTAAAAAACTATAATTTAATGGTTTATATAAAATTCAAGGTATTGGGACACACTTAGTAACTATTCACAAATGATGGAATAACTAAAACGTGAAAAAAAAAACTAAAATGTATATTTGATATATATTAGTTTTAAAAGAATCAATATAATTTATCTTTAATATTTATTAATACATAAATTTTAATAATTAATTTTAACATTTATTGATAAGCTTACACTAAAAAAAAGAGAAAATTTATTTAAAAATAAAAATGCATAAACTTATAACAAGCAAATGGGCATGGCTTAGTAGTGAATCTCTAGTTGTTAAAGGCTTAAAGCCTAATATCCAAGGTTTGAATCTTTCTATTGCTAAGTTTGTAGTTTTATACTAACAAAACGAATTTAATGAGAAAGAAGGTTATTAATTAACGAAATTAATGAGAAGAGAATTCCAATTAGGTGCTAAAATTGAAATTCAAATTTAAAATTATGCATTAATTACACGAGTAATTAACTAATTAATGAGAACAAAATTGCACTTAACTATAGGAGTAAATATAAAATTAATGAGAGATAATTCGACCCTAAATATAATTTAATGAAATTAATGAGAGAGAAGCAGACTTGTATTAGGCTGTACCAGATTGTTTTGGAACTGTATTGGCCGATACAAACCCGAAACAATCGGATAAAGACCAATACATACAAGGAACGCTACAGATAATTTCTATGCATTCTTTGTATCGGACTAATACCGGAACGATACGTATCGACCGATACAGTCCAATATGTTGCAAAATTTTGAACCTTGGTTTTTCATTTCATAATTCTTAGTAGATGATCAAATGGTTTAAAATGATTATTAGGGTAATAGTGTCAACTGAATCCATCTTTGGCATCTGCAAAGCGAACAAAAAAGTATAGAGATTAAATTATTGATATCACCTCACTCGAACAAGACATCTATTCTGAGATCCAACATGTTTCACGAGATCAACCGCCTGATTCATTTGTGATATTATTCACGTCTTGTTTTTTTAGAGACTGGATCACACATGACGCCTCACACCAACCTCGTAAGCATATCCCACCGTGCATTGGGAACATCTTTTGTACTTATATGTTATTATTTATGGGAGATGTCCGCAATACATGATGGGATGTGCCTGTGAGGTCGTTGTGAGGCACCCTGTGTGAGGAGCAAATCCCAATTCCTTTTTTAGGATTCTCTACAGACATTGACATAACTGGGATGATCCCCAACGTTCTCATTTTTTTTTACTAGCATAAAAGGATAGGGATGTCCATGGATCGATTAACTGAACCATGACCCTTTTTTGTAAGCCGAACCAGTGGTACCAATTTTTTCATTTCGCCAAACCGAAACCGAACTAGTACCACTGGTTAACCGATCCGCCGGTTTCAAATTTTGACCGATTCGAATATTCAGTTTTTCAGTTTTTTATATTTATAATATATATATATATATTATATAAATATATGTATACTACTATATTATAAATAATAAATGATATATAATATATTATAAATATTTTAAAAATATATAATATATTTTGTAAATAGATCATTATAAATATAATATAAATACATATTTATATAAAATACATAGAAAATATGTGACATTAAAAATATTTATAAAATATACATATAAATATATATACTTGTCGGTTTTTTATAGGTTAACCAAAAATCAAACCAGTCTTTCAGTTTTTCAAAAATTCCGAACTAACCAGTTCGGTTAACCGCATTTTGCGGTTTGGTTTTCTCGGTTCAGTTCAATTTTTTGATTTTTCATTAACACCCCTATAAAAGGACTTTGAAGTCGCTGTGTACATATCTACAAATTATGCACCAGAAGTAAGGATGTCAATGGACCGGTTTTGGATTGGACCCCGTCCAGTCCAAAATCAATATAGACGAATTGGACGACCAACAAGACATATTGGATCAGATCAATCCAGTCCAAAATATTTATTAGATTGGATTGGACCTGGTCCATCCGTAACAAATTTATATTGGATTAGGTTGGATTAAGCCAATATCTAGTCCATTAATATAAGATAAAAATATGTGTCAATGGATCGAGTTTGGGTTGAAACCAATCTAAATCAAAATGAATTTGAACAGATTGGACGGTCCAAACATTTAATTAGACCGGTCCAAATTGGTCTAAAACATTCATTCGATTGGATTGGACCAAACCCAATCCAATTGACACCCCTAACCGGAGGTGGAACTGGAAGGTTCACAATAATGGTACGACCTATCGTTCTTTTTTTTTTTTCTTTTTCTTTTTTTTTTTGATAAAAGATAGGACCTAGCGTACTTGATACAAGCAGCAAAGCCAACTCCTGATTCCTTATTGTTTTGGGCAAAATTTCACTCATCCGTAAAACACCTGTGACCTTTTGACCTCCAAGCCTTAAATACCAGGGCAGAAGGTCAACCGAATATTTACAGAGTTTACCACATCCAGGCTGCACTCATTTCAGTATTTTTACAACAATTGAAATTAGAAAAAATGGAATAAACCACATTACCGAAATGGGGAAAAATAAAATAAAACACATAATATGCAACCAAAACATCAATCCTTGAGAGAATCCAACCTTCGTCATCTCAGAGCCAACCTTCTAGGGCATAACGCTTTGAACGTTCTCTACCTGGAAAAAACATGCAGTGATTAGATGCAATAAAGAAACAGATCAGCATTTAACAAATGAATGGGAAGGGAAGGGGTGCACAGAATAGGTCTCCCGCACAGGTCAGGTCATATTAATCTTTATACACCCCCTTTCCAGCATTGTCAACGAAATGGCCTGGATAAGATCCCCTTATAAATATGAATATAAATGTATCAAATTTGTAAATAACTATATCCAAATCGATTCAATCCTCGCATCCCTATATCAGTTCTCCCAATATTCTAATCTTAGGCCAATAGCCCCATGTGGAAGGGAAACAATTGGTTTCGTCCTTTTATCTTCTTTTTTAAAATGATTAACGTACATGGTTGGGCATTCTTGAATGCAGTTTAGCAACTCATGTTACATGGCAAAAGACTACTGATATGATTCCTGTCCCCCTCTTAATAAATTTAAGTACTAAACAATGACATGATCACATGAACCAGACATGCCTTTATTGTTGATAAACTGATGTTGTCACCACATCAGTGAGGGGGAGAGTGAAAATAGGGGCTATATATAGATGCAATTACATCCTCAAATATTAGTACACTCCTATAACATAGTATCTTCATCTTATTACTTACCTTAGAGGGGCAATATTGTAATAATATATAGAAGTCTCTCTTACCAAAATACCTAGCCTTTTGGGGGGACGGGTAGAAGTTGATTGATTCAAGGAACCCTTTAGAAGCTGTAAATGTTTTGGGTTTCTGCTTGTTCTCTTTTGACTTTGTTTTCTTAGTTTATAGACATGAACCCTAGAGAATTTAATCTCTCCAGAAGTCTGACAGGCTGTTGAACAATCGAAGGTTCCCACAGTATAAGGCATATAATAAGGGAGGCAAGAGCCCGACATCTAGAGTGAACATATTGTTTAGGTGGATCCCATTGTCTACTAATTTTATCACTGCCTTGGTCCACTTGTACAATCTCCACTATTTTTCTTTGATAAAGATCTTTCATTTGATTGAAAAAGGAATCACACTAGGAGAAGATTTGGGTAACATAATAAGGGAGAAAACGGTGACATGGCTTTGTTGTGTACAATGGAGACTAATAATGCATCAACAAGGATTGAACAGGTTCAGGATTGAAGGCACTAAAACGTCAAAAAGGAGTGCAGTCTTTATTTTCTGTTACAAGTATCACTTTTCCTCCTTGAAGGGTGGTTGTCAGCCTATAAGACATTTATTGAGGCAAGAGAATATATTTCAAGACAAAAGTTTCAAGCTATACCCGACTACCTATTTTAGTGTGCCACTAAATGTCAGATATATCAACTGTGTAAATTCAATATCTGGCACTTTGCCAAGCTGTGCCCTTGCTGTATCTGGGCAATAAAAGTTTCAAGATGAGACATGGCCTACAGTGACTACCGACTACAATGGAACATTATTCACATAGCCAATTCAAATAGCTCAGGCAAGACTCATATGGTGTGACGATGAACTATGATCCATAGAGCGGGTAAGTTATTGACTGTATGGTCTGGATGAGACTGCATTGCACTTAGTAAAGCTACTTATATATCTTAATATACTTACGAATCATATGACTGCATGAGAAGGGTTCCAAGTAACTTACCTCCACATACTTGCAATTTATGGAAAGATGGAATAATCTGTACCACAAGAAAAATCTGATCAAGCTGTGAGAAAGAACGGCTACATATGGAATCAAGCTTGCCTATGGCATCTTCAGTGCCTTCTGTACTTGTGCAAATGCAGCAGGGTGCATTCTACTGATGGCTGCATTAAAAGATGAATCTCCATGAAGAGCAGCACAGGTTTGAAGATTCTCTCTTACTGAACTCTCCAGTGATAACTGTTTGATAGGATCTGAAGCTTTTATCTGATGATAGAAAAAAAATCATTTAAAGTTATAGTAAGAAAAGTTTAAGGACATTGACCTATAACCCCCAAGGTCAGGAAAAGATCCAAGAAATCTTACTTGTCTCCTCCTTAGTTCTTTACTTGAAATGGTGCCTTCACAATGAGATTCAGTAGAGCTAATGTTATCACCACTGTCATTTAGAACAAAGAAAAAAAAAAGATATTATAACTAAAAGGTTGAAAGAGTGAAGTTGTTAACCCTTCAATACCACTAAAATTTACAGAAGTATACCAATTGAAAAAGATAGAATCTATGCAGGAGATCTCACCTTGACTCTTCCTCACCAAAGTCTTCACTTGCACCCAATATCACACTTGTACAGACACTACATGAATTGCTTTGGTAAGTGACACTACATGAATTAAAAAACAGGAATGCTGGTATATATAATTAATTAACTCATGGCATGTTATAGTGCATCAAAGTGATACCTGAGGATCTGATCAAGTTTATCAAGGACTTGAGGTACTCTCAAGGTCAAAATAATTGAAAGAGCTAAACCAAAAGTTTTTCTCTGAATGGATGTTACATTGTCAACCTGTGTCCATGCAGAAAAGAACACAAGAGCTCAATGATACTGGTATCGGTATCAATCCAACATAGGACGAATTAAGGAGTCAAGAGTGATGAATCATCAATACAATCAAATGTAACTCAACTATCAGAATTAGCATATGCAGAATTTCTTGTCTTATAGAGCTTGAAAACCAACTTTGAAGAAGCTTCTTATCTTTTACTGGAAACAAAAAATATCTTATAGAGCTGGAAAGATAAAGTTCAAATAAGCTATTACATCAACACTAAGATGAGGGCACAAATTTCTCCTAGATTTCCAGTCCAACCGTGGGGACCCATAGAGCAATGTCCTCAAGCCAGAGTTGGAACCAGGAGGTGTGTTGAATCTCAGTGACTAATGAAATTTCAAGGAAGTCAATTTTCCTTGATGGTTGACCTATCTATACCCAGAGTCACTCTGGAGAGTGCTGTGTGGCACTTTAAATTGATAAACAAGGGATAAAGTGCTCTAGTATTTAATAAGACAGTTAAAACAAATATATAGCATCAGTAAGACACCAAATAGATCATTTGCCAAGTCACAAAACAACTGAACAAGAACACAAAAGAGTGCACCTTGTCTACCAAAAAACGTTTAGACAAATGCCATAATGTTCCTCATGAAAATGGAAACCTTTTAGGTGATATTTTTTGCTTTGGATTTGCTGAACTTAACTCTAATGAAAGTTAGGTTGTGGAGACTGGAGAGGGCATTCTGATGCATGATCTTTAATGCAGCACAGAACATGAAGATATCATCTGACTAGTATTTCATTCGGTGATTTAAAAGGTGTGCCTAGGTGCACAGACGAGGTGCATTTTAGGGTATGTGTACATGAAATGCGCATTTTAGGGTTATGTGCCTCGTCTAGGTCCCAGGCGAAGTATTTTCAAAAGGCGTGTGCCTGGTCGCCTCAAGGCAAGCCCAAACAAGTCCATAATTCCATATTAGGGTCTTAAATTCTTAAATGTCTTTTAAAAATATCTTTTATCAGGATGAATGAATGAGCAACATTGGCAAATATGGGGTTTTTAGAGCTTCGGTGAACAAGCGAAGTGAGCGAATTTGAAGACCCTAATATGGACTTGTTTGGGCTTGCCTCGAGGGGCTTGGTATAAAGGTGGCTTGTATAATCAAGAATGCGTAATTTTTAACATCACATTAGCTAATTGAAGTAATGCAATTGGGAAAAAAAATAAAGAGATTAAGCATGCTTGAATATGTTTTATATGTTATGCTTGATTTCATTTTTAAATTTTTATCTTAAATATGTTTTACATGTTATGTTCATGTATTTTAATGTGAGATAATATGCTTTTTTTTAAAGAATTTATTTTAAATATTAAGTTTACATTTTTAATTAATAATGTGTTTAATATTTTAATAATCTGCATTTTTATTTTTTTGGCTTTTTTTTTGCATTACTATGCCTTGCTTCAAAAAGGCATGCTCCTCACATTGTGCACATTTTTTGCATTTTTTGCGCCTTTTTTTGCATTTTTGAGAACAAAATGGCCCTTGCACTTTTTTTTGTGCCTTTCACTTTTAAAACAGTAGTTTCATCCTTGTGGAATTAGTGACAGAAAAGGAAATTTCAAATATCTCTACTAAATTGACTATTCTGAGTGGAGAAGAATACTTTTTATGATAGAAGAAGAGGAGAAAAGCACAAGGAGTGAATATAAGCAACATTGTTCCATTTTACATTGAGAAGAAATCATGAAAGGTGCATGTTATAGAAGGAATCACCATCATCATCCAAGCCTCATCACAACTATATGGGGTTCGATACATGAATCCTGTTTCTCCATTCCGTTCTGTTTAATGCCATTGCCATAACCATAGTTAAATTATTATCATTTAAATCATTTCTTACTACTTTAACTTGTGCTTTTTTTTACCCCTACCCCTTTAAGCCCCTTCAAGTTGCAATAGATCAGTTCTTATGGGTGCTGTCAAAGGCTGCCTTCTATGCATGTGATCAAACCATCTTAGTCTACTTCCTCTCATTTTATCACCCCTATTGGAGCTACTCCCAAGTTCCTTTGAATGACTTAATTTCTGACCCTATCCTTTTCTAGTTTTTTCCACTCATCCATCTCAGATGAATTTCTGCCACAAACAATGGACATGTTTCTTGACTGCCCAACACTCTGTTCCATACAGCATAGCTGGCCTTACAACTGTTTTATAGAATTTTCCTTTTAATCTAAGTGGTACTTATCACATAAGATTCTAGATGCACCCCTCCATTTTGCCCATCTTACTCTGATATATGCTTTGTGAAGAAAAGTAGAAGAAGCTGAAAGGTTTCAGCAAGAGAGAAAGAAAGAGAAGAAGAAAAGAGAGTGGGATGTCGCCAGAATTGAAAGATTTGGCCGCCAACCTCTCTTGATTTATATACTTAAATAAAAGAATGAAAGATTACAAAGATACCCTTTGTAGGGAAGCTACTTTAAGTAGCTGAACAGTCACAACTTAAAATTAACATAAACTAATGGGCCTAAGGCCCAATAACTTCCTAACTAAATAACATAAATAAAAATAAAACAAAGCTGGGCCCAATAACTTAAAATTGGCCCAAACTCAACATTCCCCCTCAAGTTGGGAGTAAATGTCACCCATTCCCAACTTGTGTAGATCATGCTCTAGCTTGTTTCTTGTAACACCTTTTGTAAGAAGAATCAGCAAGCTGCAAATCAGAAGCAATGTATGGAAGAAAAACTTCCCCTGAGGTCACCCTTTCTCTTATGAAATGTCTGTCCACTTCAATGTGCTTTGTCTTGTCATGCTAAATTGGATTGTGGGCAATGTTAATTGCTGCCTGATTATCACAATACAACATCATAGGTTCTTCTGCCTCAAAACCAATTTCTCCTAACAAGGAACGGATCCAGAGAAGCTCTGAAACTCCATGTGCCATGGCTCTGTATTCAGCTTTTGCACTTGACCTTGCCACAATTGTCTCTGTCTTACTTTTCCATGAAACTAGATTGCCTCCAACAAAAGTGCAAACTCCTGATGTAGATCTCCTGTCATCTAGGCATCCTGCCCAATCAACATCTGCGTAAGCCTCTAGCTTCAACTGTCCATGGTCAGCAAATAGTATTCCTCTACCAGGGTGTCCCTTTAGATAAGTAAGAATCCTATCAACAGCCTCCCAATGCTGGACTCATGGGACATGCATGTATTGACTCACCACACTCACTACATAAGAGATGTCTGGTCTTGTCAGACATAAATATAGCAACCGCCCCACTAGCCTCTGATATCCCCCAATGTCCTTCACTAGCTCACCTTCTGATGCATTAATTCTGTGATTTTGATCAATAGGAGTACTAGCTGCCTTTGTTCCAAATTTCCTTGTTTCTTGTAAAAGGTCTAGAACATACTTCCTCTGAGAAATAAAAATTCCATGCTTTGATCTTGTGACCTCAATGCCCAAAAAATACCTCAGCTCCCCAAGATCCTTAATTTATGTTAGAGTGAGCCGAATAGGGGTAGTTTAGTAATCTCATGTCAGTTAAGTACTTTGCTTATGTGGCTATTTTATTAGAGCACTCTGCCCCACACTTAAGTGTGAGCAATTTAGTCTTCGTAAGGGTAATTAGAACCTAATAAACATAAGGGGGTCGACTGAATGGGTGACTAATCAGTTTCGACTAAACCCTCCTATTCTCTCTTTCTCTTGTCTTCTTCCTCGTCTTCTTCTTCTTCACTGGTTCGGATTACTGTAGCTGCTCCAAAACATGGTATCA